CCTCTCCCTGCCCATCTCCATGTGTACATACATGTGTTCATGCCACCCAGACACCACAAAGGTTCATTCAACATGAAGGGTGTGTGATAGGGCTTTAGCACTATCAGTCACTATAATCTCACAATGATTATGAAGGTGCAGTAATAAAGAAAGCAATACCGCTTGAAGTTGGTATTTTAGGACAATGTAATTGTAGCAGGAGAAGAGGCTCATGTGTTAAGGCACAAGCTATTTATTTTTCATCTTCCACCAGATTTTTCCAAACTAAGCCTATGACTTCAGTGCACAAAATATTTAATCTGAATAGCCCATATGCTGCCATGTACCTGCTCCAGAATGAGTTAATTGTGGTTTTGCAGCCTCCTCTCCCTGCTGGTGTTTTATTTGTGTCCAGCCTTATCACTGTGGGAAGCAAGGACGCTAATTGTGGCACCTAGTTACAAGAGGCAGCTCTTTGGTTTAGTTGGCAGATGGAAGGCGCAATCTTCTCCCACAAACAGCAGCATATGAAGGATGGGTGGAATATCAGATTGGATAAAATTATGTCGAGTTTTTCACTACTGGAACATCGTTTCCAGTAAAACAGTTTCTTGGACTTTGGACAAAGGGTTCCATCAAGTGAAAGGTCAGGTCCAAGCAACAGATGTTGGTCTGGGTTGAACTGGGAACCAGGGGCTAGGAGGTGCACTGGAGAAATGGAATAACAAGATGAAGCCAGAGGTTAAGACCAAAGAGCAAATCAGGACTAAAGGACAAACTGGGAGCCAGAACTAAAGATCATGCAAGAAATAAGGACCAAAGAACAATCAAAGAACACAAGAACAATCCAAAACAGTCCAAAACTCAAGGGGGCTGAGTTTCTCAGGTGAGGTTTAATTAGAATACAAATCCTTCTTATACTTATTCCTGTCCAGGAGAATCCAGTAACCAGCATAGGCAAGGCCTTGCGGTTATTTAACTACCCTAGGCAGAAGCTGTAAACTGCAGGTCAATGGCTTACGATGTGAGGTAGCCTCACACAGATCCAAATTTTGAGTCATAACTGAAAGCAATCATAAGTCCAAATTTCTCCAATATGGTAACCACCAGATATGCTGGATTACAACTCCCATAACCTATGTTGTGCTAGCTCTGGGATTATGGGAATTGTAGTTCAACAGGTGGCACAAATTGCCAGTCTGGATG